CAGATGAAAAGAGCCTGAGGTTGGCACAAATAGTGCAGCATTTCCAAAACAGGCTTTAATAGGCTTTTAGGCATTCTACATGGCATGAACCCGTGTAGCTGCAGACCTATAAACATCTCTGTTTTTGAGCATTTATTTAAGGGAAGGTTAAAAGGACAAAATTAAGGCTAGCATAGCATTGTAGCTCATATTGGTGCATGATATGTTACAGAAGGGGCTTCTTCTACCTGTTCCTTTTCTTGGAACATTTCTATATTTTGTAGGATTTTGTATGTGTGTGTGTGGGGGGGGGGTGTTGTGTTCCACACTGTATTAATGTAAAATAGTATAAAAAAACTATAGTGCATCTGCATTGTATGCCGAGATTTTGCAATAATGATATCTAAGACATAATCAGCAATTCTCTTATTTGATCGTTTAAATATATTTGTCATATTAACATTTGGGTGTATTTATCATATAAACGGCCTATATGTTAGGTTTAGTTAATAAGTGTTGATTTTTGAAAACGGAAGTGAAGCAAAAGACACAAAACCATGACTATGTGCGTTGCTGCTGGTCTGCTGCTCTTTTTATTCTGGCGGGGGTGGTAATAAACAGTTTCAGTGATCCTGTAATTAAACTAATGGCGGAAATGAACGTGACAGGCAAGATGAAAGCCCAGAGTGCTAATAGCTGTGATAATCAATGTGCAGTGATAAAGAGGGATGACAGCCTTAAAGAACTGTTGGCTCTTGTCATTGTAATGGTGATCAGAACCTGAATAGCTGTCACAGAATAAAAGCTTTTTTTAGCTTCCATATCATAAACCCACTAACATGTGATTTAAACTGTGTTAAAGTCTCCTACGTTTGCACACATTTGTCCTTCTGAATAACATGCCCCTTTATCCTTGGATGTACATTTCTAAAATGGTGTTACCAATAAATAAGAGCTTCATCATTTCAGCAGTACTTAATGCAAGTATCTCGTTGATATAAAGGTACTGTACAGATTAGATTTCTTTGTTGAAACCTCTCAGACCAAGCTGAAAATGGAAAAGGCTTTGTTTCAACACAATTATTTTCTGTAAAGTAGAAGCACTTGGAAACATACCTGAACTGCTTGAGGTGCTTTCAAAGCAGGATTCATTGTTATTGTGTTCAGTAATATCCTTCGTGGCAAAGCTCTTGATTTAGTTTTGCTTGTATTTGTACTGAAGGTCAGGAAAAGAACATTTAGAGGTTAATTCCACACTGTTTTACTCTCTCTACTTTTCAGCATGGAATTAACCTTTACTTGTTCCTTTGCAGATTGCACGCTGACAAAGCTCACCACTGTAACCTCTTAAAGGTCAGGAAGTAAGGTTTTGTTCAAAATGTGGAAATAAAAGCGTGTTATTTTAGGGACTGCACAAATGCAGCACAAAATCCCATATAAACAATTATCCTGTATTTTGTTGCCATTGCATGATTGGCAAAAAAAAAAGTAAACTTTTGTTACTGGACTTTTCATGGGTTTTCAAGTTGTTTCTGGGTCAAAGTTCTAAATATAAATTTGCATGACTGATGGGAAAAATTACATGACGACTAAGGGCCTAGTTAAATGAATCAGTTCTATTACGAGTAGCCTCACATTATCTTTACTCTTTTATTAAGGTGAGACATTAAAGGTGATTCACTTCACAATAAAATAAATCGGGTGATTTATAATGCATGCGTACACCTGCTGCTTGGCTCTTTGTTTCACTGGGACAGCCATAAAAGAACCGCAAGCTGTCCATGTGGTGGTCCTTGAGCAAAACTGCAGGACCAAGCCAACCTCATTTCTAGTAGAATCTGCCAATTTAAGACATTTAAAGGAAATGAGCATTCACATGCCTGGCCAAAAAATAATAAAATGTTCTATTATTCTGTCAAAGGAAAACTGTTTTCCCAGTTTGTCAAGC